GAAGTGGTTATACAAAGATCAATTATCTATTAAAAAATTGTTTATTGAAGAGATTTGACATGAAACAAGGCAGTTGGCTCAATTAAGTGTGTCAGAAGCAATACATATCTTTCAGTCCTGTTTTCTAAAAATGCATATTTCAGGGAGGTGAAATAAAGTCATTATGCTTCTTAACATTTGAATTAAACACAAGTCAAGAAATCTATGCTCAGGAATCATAGTCATACAGCATCTTTTTATTTTCACTTAGCAAACCTAATAGAAAGCCTGGTTTATGTTATGGTATCTATTTATTGTGTTGTTACAAAAACAGCAAAGGAATCACAAACAGGACATTTCCTGATTTTTCTGCATGAAAATTCTGAATTGCACTGCAGTTACATTTATGTATCTTTTTCAGTTTGTTTGGGGTAAGCTGAGGAAGTTTTATTAGCCTTTCACTCCCTTAGTGAGTTATAAACTGCACAGTTCAAACAAACAGCATTTTTGAATAAGCTTTGGTTTTACTTCCAACTGTAAATGTGGCTTACAGCTGGTGGGTTTATATTCAAAACACTGTAGTAAAAATATAATGTGAGGTTTATGGGGGGGCTGGATAGTGTGTGGGGGGAGTGTCTCTTTTTTCCTTCTTTTTTTTTTTTTTCTTTCTTAAAGAAAACCATATATTCTGAGTTTGTGTTTAGGAAGAATAGGAAGAGAGTATAGTATTGGGTCTATATTATTCATGTTATTTTGCCAAGATGGGCAGCACTGATTGTGTTATACTGAGAGAGATCAGAGATCAAAGGTAGCAAGTACAACTGGAATGTGTTATTTCAGTCCCCTCCCCCTGCCTGCAGACTGGATAAATGTCACAGAAAGATTGCAGCAAAGAGATTTGTAGATGCCATCAGTGATTATTTCATGAAACATCTGGCTAGGAAGCCACAGAAGGAAATACAAGAATTGTTTTGGTACTGAGGGCACCTAAGATCTAATTAGGAACCTTATAGGGCAAGAGTGACTGTGTAACAGGGAGCACAGTATTCTGAAATTAAATATCCCTGCAGGAGTAATGAAGACCAAATAAAATCCAGTGCAGTTACATTCCACTTTAAAAAATGGAATTCTGTAAAAGTGAGGAGGCTTGCTAGAAACAAAATGCAAAAATAAAAAAGGGAGAGCAAGAGGGGAAGCTAAAAGAGGAAGCAAAGAAAATAAAATCTACAGGGATCATGGAAATTACTTAATAATTTTATTCAAAAATCCCAGAGACAATGCATGCTGTTTGTTATGAAAGGCTTAAGTAAGGACAGGAAGAAGCTGGTATGGCTAAACAAATAAAAAAGACTGTTAGGAAAAAAAGAAGGCATTCTTGTAAAAGCTGAACTCATAGCCATGTAAAGAAAACAAAAATTGTCCTAAGTTCTGGCATGCTACATGTGAAAATGCAATCATGCAGGCCAAAAAAATCCAAACCCAGCAACAAAAAAAACCCAAACAGAAGCATGTGAGCAGCTTCTGGAAGCCATCAAAACTAATAATGAATCCCTGAAACACTGGGACAAAAGGTCTGTCACTCTACAGGGCCATTAGATGATCAGTACTGGAAAGGAAAGCTCAGAAAAGTGCTGCAAAAAAAGCTAAATTAATTATTTGCAGTATTCACAGTGAAAAAAACTAGGGAGGTTTCTTCCTAATAAAATAATTAATTGTTAAGGCTCACTAGGAAAAAGGTAGAGAACAAAAAAGAAAACATCATACCACTGTGAGTTTGTACATACCTTGAATATTGTGTATACTTTCAGTCTCCTCATCCCCAGAATGACACATTACAAGTGGAAAATGTTGAAAAGCACAAGAATGATCGGACATGTGGAACTGCTCCTTAAGAGCAGCAGCTGTATGGGCTGGGCCTCTTCTGCCTGGAAAAAGATCAACAGAAGGAGATCTGAGCAAGGCCTGCAAAACCAGGAGGCAAGGAGGGAAGAAAGAGGCATCAGATGAAGCCCTGAGCAGCAAGGCCCAGAGCATACAAAAGCAGGTTCTTGTTCATCCAGTGGGGAGCAGGCCTGGGATAATCTTTACCAAATGAAATATTTCCAATATAACATTTTTGAAAGCTCAAGAGAAGACATGGGCAAGGTCTTAGAAGAGAGATCTTTTAGTTTTACAAATAGACAAACCACACCAAGCTCAGGAACCCCACTGATCTAGATGTAGCACAGGACTGGGAGAGTGCAGCACCACACTTGTGCCTTTTCCCACTCTTTCTGGCTGCCTTCTTGTGGAAATGTGTGACAGGACAACGGGCAAGGATGTCATAGTCAGAAATCATATGGCTCTTCATACACAAGTATCTATATGTAATTTAGGTACTTGAATGTCCATGTGGCTCTTGGTCTGTATATTTATCTGCAGTATTTGCACAGTAAATTTGGATTAACAGTAGGAAAAATAGCCTTAATCAAACTTGATAGGAAAATTAATTTCTGGAAGTCTGTCTTATCTTGTAATACATACACTGAACTGGCATTTTGTTTATTTGTTTTTTCAGCATCGTGTGCACACAATCCTCAATGCAGACTTGGTTATTGTCATGAAGAGAGGGGTTATTTTGGAATATGACAAGCCTGAGGTTCTGCTAGAACAAGAAGACAGTGTCTTTGCTTCTTTTGTACAAGCAGATAAGTAATAAAATAAATAATGCATTTTAAAGTACAATTGTATTATTTTCTAAAAATGTAAGATACCTGTAAATAAATGTTATTTCATAATAAATTGAGATATTTCCTTTTTAATAAAAAGCGCAATTTTTTGCCATGTTGAGCATTAAGGGATTATCTATGTACTTTCCCTTTTTGTATACTACTAGTCTATTTGCTACCAAAGAATCATGAAACATAGTTGAAAAAAAAGCTACATAGGTGAAATATAACAGGACACACATCAAACAAACATAACCAGCATGGAATTTTTATGTACCTCTAAAACCTCTACTGTCTTTTTATTAACATGTTATTTTTTGTGTGTCATAGCCCTACTGTAGATAGTGCTCATGACTAAATGCAGAAGGAAAAATTATATACCAAAGGTATTTCTCAAAGGCTTGTATCTCTTTTAATCATATTGACTCTGTAAAGCTTTAATATCTAAATATAAAATCTATAAAACGTTTTTTTATATTGTTGTTTATTGATAGTGCCTGTATCTCTTGGTGTCCTGGTTTGAGCCAGGATTAAGCCAGTTTTCTTCTTAATGATTTTTTTTTTTCTTCAGTAAACTCTTTTTTAAGCAGCACATTTACCAGCTACTGGACTGATAACACCTGAATGTTTATAGTTAGTGCTGGGAGACCAAGGACACTTTGCTCTGCTTGCTGAATTTCCTGCTTTGGACGCTAAAGGAGCAGAAGAGTCTTATCTACAACACTCCTGTAGAGAGAAGACTACACAGATGGCAGAACTGACCAAAGAGAGTATTCCATCCCATATATTAAGTCAAGATTTCTTTTTACTCTTCTTCTGTCCATGGCTGGTGTCTGGGAAGCACTCTGTCTATCCATCACCATTGATCCCCAGGCCCGTGCATCCCTGACCCTCACAACTCTCCCCCCAGCTCCTGTCTGCTCTGCCACTCTCTCTGGCAGCACAAGGACATTTCAGAGCTGCTCCCAGCTCAGGAGATGCCTGGGGAGTTGCTGGGGTGGGGGGAGGCAGTAGGGTTTTGGACATTCCTGAACATACTTGTGTATAATTGTACATATTTTATTTTATCATTACTATTTAATTAAAGCTGTCTAGCTTAGTTTTCAATCTGGAAAGTCTCGCTCCTTTTTCTCTCTCTCCTTTCCCCACCTGGGTGGGAGGGGGAGGGGATTGAGAATATTATTGTCACTGGTTTAATCACCAATCCTGAGTGAAACCATGACACTCGGTATCTCCTTTAATAGCTTTTAGAAATTAATCACAAGCAGATTCCTTTAGTCTTCCTTAGGCTGCCTCTTCTCTGACCCCATGGTATCATATTATACTGATTCCAAATGGGATTGAGCCAAACTCCCTCCCAAACTGCTAGGAAGCTAAGAGGAGGCAGGTTGTGATAAAGTATCAGTGTTTAATGCACACTGTTTCCAGAGCACTATAAACTTATTAATTTATCTGGAAATTATCCCTCCGAGTGTGGTAAATAAAGAGTAGCCACTGAAATTATCCTAATTTGGGCAGACAACTACTTATCCTTGCCATGTTGATTCATTATGACAATCATTCCAGAATGTTTTAATTGTTAAGGAATTAGAATGTCAATGACCCAATGGAAGGCTACAAAGAATTTTTTCACCATTATTCTTTTTATAGCAACTTTGGCTTTCCATTAACTTTTGTCCTCTTCCCCTTTTTGAAAAATTTCTAGTACTTCAGAAAATTCCCTCTTCCTCTTTTTTTTATACTCTTTAGCCTGCTCAATCAATTTGGAATCTGTTTTTTAAAGGCTGTGTTTTCATGGGATATATGATGTTTTAATGCATTACCTCTAGCACTGCAGCACAGAGCAAGGAAAGCCGAAGAATTGTTGCTGCTGTTTAAGCAGTGTTACCAGCTTCACAGCATCTGTCCCCTATTACTTGTGCAACACCTAAGGGCATTAAACTGGGGCCAGAGAACGTATCACCAACAGAAGCGTGTAGAACAACAGTAAAAGTGGGAAGTTAGTATCCAGCTATGCAGTGAAATGCATGAGCTCTGTCATTGCCTACTACAGCTGAGGAGAGAAAATGGACAGTTGGGCATTGGCTGCTCCTCTAGGGAATAATTTTGCTGGCAGTGTCAAAAACCAGTTGGTGTCTTTTCACCCTGGGTCACCAGGCATCCAAGAGCAAAGAAATGGCAGACAAGTGACTATCCTTCCAGCGCAGCAGAAGGACACAGTAAGTGCAGAGTAGGTTTCTACTACAGCTAGTGTGTAGGCTGTCTGCCCAGCACTGGTCTAAGGTCGATCTCATCCTGCAAAGACTTTGGAAAATGCTGCTCTGCAGGACATCTCAAACTCATGCTGCAGAGAGAGATCCTCAGGAGCTTTGCAACCATCTGTGGAAGATCCTAAATCTTAATGGCAAGAGGAGAAAAACAGAGAAGTGAGGTTTCATATGCTTTTAATAAAGTGCCTGAGGTTTGACACTGTAATTTGGACTAGCTCCTATTCCACGAGCTTCTAACAACCTTAACTAGCAAGAGAGTAAAGGAACAGCATATCTCTATGATGACTCGCAGTATTATGAAAGAAGAACTCAAAGAACAAGTGTCAGATGGTTGCAGATGACTCGCAGTATTATGAAAGAACTCAAAGAACAAGTGTCAGATGGTTGCAAGGTAAATGGGGCTTATATTTCACAAAACAGCTTTGCAGGGGAGTCAGCAAGTTGGTTCATATCCAACAATTATATATCTCTTTAATTGTACCACACTGGTGGATAAATATGTGTGAACAGGGAGGCCTCTTAGCGACCACTTGGACAGAATACACTTCACATTTCCTCAGCACGTTTTATCTAGTTTTGTTTATGTGGGGCCAAGTCCTAGGGAGCTTCTGCTCCTAACTCCAAAGGGTTAGTCTTGATAGTGACTTGAAGCAGTATCGAAGAAAATTAACTCTGTGGTGGGAGGCTGACTGTAATTATCTGAGTCATTAAACCTGCTACCTCGAGATAGGCATTCCAGAAGTCGCTATTGAATCAGGCTGACAAATATATTCTGCATGGCAATGAAGCATTACTAAGCAAAGTGCTGCTCTAAAACAGGTGCAAGACAGCCCCAAAGCAGCTTTGTCCAGACTTTCATCCCTCCTCTGGAATGGGACTCAGTGCAGTCATGAAGATGTTATTGGAACAGGCTGCACATGGAGATGCAACCAGGCTTTGTTTTATTTATTTATTGCTTTCCAAAACGCTTCCATTATACAGAAAGGTTTTTAGCATTCATCTTCTTGTCTTAGTGTGGCCATTTCATCCTGTTCTACATATTTCAAAAGGAACGCTGTTTCCCTGGAAGGCAAGGAAGCACAGCATGCTTGCTACATTAGCCTTCTTCCCAGGTCTGCTCATGCCTTCCCCTGTGGCTTTGTACAACCAACTCCAATCTCTTTTCTTCTGCCTACCCGCATGTACTGCAAGGTCATTTGTGAGGCTTAATTCATGCTAGGCTAACACTGTGTAGCCTTTGAAAGAAAAGTCTGCTTCTAAAAGCAGAGTAGTACCATAGTGCCAACTAAATTTAAATTGAACAGTTAATAGTAGTATCTTCTTTGGTAGCCATTAAAATTAGGATAAATCAGGGCAGGGGGAGTTTTGCAATGTAAAACCTATTTTGTGGGTGGAAATAGTTACCACTCATGATTCAACTCTACACAGTGGGATTGTTCATTCCTGTGAGCCCAATTTGTTCAGGAGCTCTTGACACAAATATGTTGGCTCACTCAGGAGATCTGTCACTTTTTTCTTTTAAGTATCTGCCACTTGATCCACAAAGACAGGGCTTCTTTTTATTCTGCTCTAGAAATTCTTCAGCAGAAGCTACTTGCTTTGCTGTCCCATCTCAGCCAAAAAGTGCTCAGATGTGAAGAAAAAGAAATGGGAAATAGCAGTCCCAAAAAAAGAACATAAGTGGAGACAAGGAAACATTCTTCTAGCTCTATAGAGTTCAGAATTTCTCAAACCAACATGGTGAGCATATTCATGCAACACTTGCTGTAGTAGGCTCCATGGGTCATTCCTAGCACCAGACTGTGAAGCAATTTACCTTTCCCTTTAAAATACTGCTCCCAGGCACATTTATTGTTAATTCTACATTCATGTAATTACCGCCCTCTGGAGGAAAAGCTACAGAGTAAGACAACGATTAGAAAAGAGTAAGGAAAAAATGGCATGATAGGCATGACTGTCCAGGACACAGACAAAGTAATACAGAGAAAGGGGAAGTAAGTTAGCTGCTGGCTCAGCTCAGCAGCCAGGTGCCAGAGCACCTTATCATTTTAGTTTTATTTCTCAAAACAGCAAGAAAGGCAACTCAGAACAAGAGAAAGCGTGGAGTACTGGGAAACTGATTCCTCCAGAAGAAATGGATGTGTTTAGGGACATGCAATTATTCACACATAAAAAGTATAAATAATCTAAAGTAATAGTAATCATTTAATTACAAGACCTATAACGACTCATCAGAAAGCTCAGAGTGATGACTTAAAAATACTATTATGAAATCCCTAGTTGGGTCACATTAAGTAACTGTAGGTGGTGAAAGTTAATTTCAGTCCTATCTGGCTGGCTCCCAACCATCAACTGGGCAATTGCCTTGCTTACACTTACAGGGTAACTGCTTACAATGTGCATCAAAGCACTCATAGCCAAAACTGAAGGGAAAGTCCACAGACACAATTAGAAAAATTTAATGATAAATCCACCAGCACTAAAGAAAAACCTCTTAACCATATTATTTGAGCATGCTTTAGCAACTCAACAACCTTGGTATTTAAACTGTAATAGAAACAAAATATTTAAATCAGAGTAAGTAAGCACATGAATAATAATATTGCTATTTGAACAGTGGAGCTGCCTCATCAGAGCGTTTTTAAATAACTCATCTGGTGACAAAGGTGCACCCTTGCACGCACGCACACGTGTGCACTTACACGCATGCAGACATCACCCTGCACACACAGGTTGTAGCTTCCTGCTTCCTTTTGCCATCTCTCCTGGAGATCTGATGTCTGTCTGGAAGTTCACGTCACTGTGGATTAACCATTTGCAGACGTTTGCAGTATTTACTGCTATGTGGACGCAGACATTCCCGAGCAGTCACAGTTCACATCATTTCACGAGCTTGTTCTTTCAGAAAAACCTTCCTAAATAACTAAATAACAAGTCCAGCAAATGTTACAAGGGAGAGTAAGTCCCTTTAGTTCCAAGTTTCTGTTTAACCATTATGCCCTTGGACTTGGCCTCTTCGAGCAGATTTCCTACCCCTGCCTGACTCACGGGTGCTTTCCTCCCACTCACAGAAAGCGGCACAGCTCGATTTCAGGGATTTTTACTTCTTTTCATTCCCGATTTCCTGGGTGCTGCGCTGTGTTTCACAGACTGCCCAGCCAGGAGCCCCCCACCCCGCGCAGCAGAGGCTGCCGAGGGCAGCGG